TGTCTATCAGATGTTAGTAAACAGTAGATGCTTTCCAGATGAAGTGATCTTTAACAGACATCTTGCAGACGCACGTGTGCTTTCTAACGTCTAGGAGTGTGTCACCATGGATATGAAAGCATCTGGCTATAGAAACAGGAGGTTTTGAGGAAGTTCTAGAAGTAGGGTGACCAGATTTCTCATGGTGGAATACGGGACGGGATGGACTGGCACCCACCCCAACGAAGTGGAAGTGCAAATTAGAAGTGGAAAATGTTTGTCAAAAACTTACATTTACACACAAACTGACCAGAAACCGCAATTTTCATACGCCATGCATCTATCTTTTTCAAGCTCAACTCTCACTGAATGGAACAGATAGGATTGTGGGATATCAAAGGTAGTGAAGGATACATCTATGCTGCCTTAAAAAAATCGATGAGAGGAAGGTATCTCAGGAGACAGGAAGTGAAGCTAACATTGGATTCGGAATGAAGGTGGGATATTAGATGAACGGGATTGATGCTTTCCTACCTTGGAATCCGTGCTCCTAAGGCAGCATTTTTAAGTTTTCGGATGCAGCCTTCTTGATCTCCTCCACGCTCTTTAATATCCCGGCTTCATTAACTGAAAGTTAATCGATAACGTATTGTGATTGTATGGTAAGTTTGTTCTTCAAAATATACTATGACGAGATTGGCAACCTTTGGCTATTCTCGCGTGACAGAAGACTGCTAGTCTACTCGCTCGCTTTTATATGATCACCTAGCAAGGATAATTTAGGAAAGAAGAAATACGGGATAAAACAAGATTATAATAAATCGGGACACTAAAAATAAAGCTGAAATACGGAACTATCCTGGGAAAATGGGAAGTCTGGTCACCCTATCTGGATAACAGCTTACAACACCCTGTCTAATTCATTTAATAATATAATATTCCTGATATTTCTACAATGAATTGATGATATTCTATTCTTCAGCCAACTAGCCGCACCTCTGACCGCCTTGACCTCCCCCAGAACGACGTTCAGGTGGTCAGACGCAGCCGAGGTTGCGTTTGCCAAATTGAAGGGTTGCTTCGTTTCAGCCCCCATTCTGACAACCCCTGATCCATTACGTCAGTTCGTGGTGGAGGTCGACGCGTCAGAGGTGGGGGTAGGAGCAGTGTTATCCCAGCGCTCTCTTTCAGACGACAAGATGCATCCTTGCGCGTTTTTGTCTCACCGTCTATCCCCTGCCGAACGCAATTATGACATTGGGAACAGAGAGTTGTTGGCAGTCAAGTTAGCATTGGAGGAGTGGCGTCACTGGTTAGAAGGGTCGGGAGTACCTTTTATCGTTTGGACCGACCACAAGAACTTAGAATACATTCGGACTGCTAAAAGGTTGAACTCCAGGCAGGCTCGGTGGGCACTTTTTTTCGGTCGTTTTGATTTTACTCTTTCGTACCGCCCGGGTTCTAAGAACATCAAACCCGATTCTTTATCGCGCATTTTTGATCGTTCCGAACGCCCGTCTACTCCCGAGTGCATTTTACCAGAGACCCTATTTATCTCCACACTCGTATGGGAGGTCGAATCGAAGGCCTTAGAAGGGGTAACGCCCCCGGTCGGTTACCCACCGAATCGTTTATTTGTGCCTGAGGGTTTGAGGTCCAGTGTCATTCAGTGGGGGCATTCTTCCAATGTGGCTTGTCATCCAGGAGTTAATCGCACTGGGTTTTTAGTCAAACAACGGTTCTGGTGGCCTCTCATGGCTCGTGACATTCACAGTTTTGTTTTGGCTTGCTCAGTTTGTGCCACTGGTAAGACTTCCAATCGACCCCCAGATGGGTTACTCCAACCGCTGCCAGTCCCTTCGAGACCCTGGTCCCATATCGCTCTAGATTTTGTTACCACCCTCCCAGGGTCATACGGTAGTTTTGACCGTAGTGGACCGGTTCTCGAAGGCGGCTCGTTTCATTCCCTTGCCCAAATTACCCTCAGCCAAGGAGACAGCGGTGATTGTCGTTGACCACGTCTTTCGGTTACATGGCCTCCCGACAGACGTGGTTTCTGACAGGGGACCCCAGTTTGTGTCCAAATTTTGGCGAGAATTTTGTAAGCTTCTGGGGGCGACTGTCAGTCTGTCCTCAGGGTTCCACCCCCAGAGCAATGGCCAAACTGAGAGAGCCAACCAGGATTTGGAGAGAATGTTACGATGTTTGGTTTCCAAGAACCCTTCCTCATGGAGTCAACAGCTTTCTATGGTGGAGTACGCCCACAACACGTTGCCAGTGTCATCCACGGGCCTATCTCCGTTTGAGTGTAGCATAGGTTACCAGCCACCAATTTATCCTAGTCTGGAATCCGAGGTCGTGGTCCCCTCTGCTCACGCCTTCGTCCAGAGGTGTCACCGCACTTGGACTAGAGCCCGTGAGACTCTTCTCCACGTGGGGTTGCGCACCAAGGGTCGCCACCGGTCTAGGCCTCCCGTATACGTCGTTGGTCAAAAAGTGTGGCTTTCTACCAAGAACATTCCTCTCCGCTCCGTGTCTAATAAACTTGCTCCCAAATTCATTGGCCCGTTCACTGTCACCAAGATCATTAGCCCGGTGGCAGTCCGCCTCAACCTTCCTCCGGTGTACAGGAGAATTCACCCCGTCTTTCATGTATCCAAAATTAAACCCGTATTTCATTCTCGCATTAATCCACCTATCCCGGTTCCTCCCCCGCCACGACTCGTAGATGGGGAATCAACTTATTCGGTCAATCGTGTGCTGGACTCAAGGCGGAGGGGCCGCGGATTCCAGTACTTGGTGGACTGGGAAGGTTACGGTCCTGAGGAGAGAAGTTGGGTACCTGCTAGAGACATTTTGGATCACTCCCTTATCGATGATTACAATCAACAGGTAAGGAGTCCTGGGAACGCCAGGAGGCGTTCCTAGGGGGAGGGGTACTGTCACGGTATATGGATCCAGTGTCTCTCTCTAGTCTCGTGCTTTGTTGTTTACATGTGTGCGAGTGTGTGAGTCCGGATCATCACAGTTGATCAGTATCCAGCTGCGATCACTCACCAGTACCAGCTGCCACTCATCTCATCTCCTATAAAAACTTACCACTTTCTCATTCCCATTGTCAGATCGTTGCATGAAGTCTTCGTGTTACCTGTGCCTGTTCCTGTGCTTCGTGTCCCGTCTCGAGTTCCTGTGTTCCAGTTTTCGTCGTGTTGGATTTCGTTTTCGTGTCTGGATTACGTCATCACTCTTCAGAGCACCCTGCACTTCATCCTTCACTCTGTGTCTGACCATCGAAGTCCCTGCGCCACCGCCTGCATCACCTGGACTTATCATCATCATCTTTATTTGCACTATAATAAAGAGTCTTTTACTTGCATCTTGTGTCCTCGTTCCTAACGTAACACTACTAGAACATCTAGGCACAGGAACAGTTTCTTCCCACTGGCTATTTCCCTCTTGTAACAGCTAAACGCCTTCCAAGTGCAATACCCCATTTCTCTGTGCAGTATATCCTTATAAAAAGTCATATTTATTCATATTACTTCACAATAATGTATGTTCAGTGTCTGTAAATGTTTATTCTGACTAAACCTATCTCTGTCTTTATACTTTTTTTTAACTTAAATGTTATGTCTTGTTATATTTATATTTGTGTCATGGAAGCTTCAATACCAAGGTAAATTCCTTGTGTATATGCAAACACACTTGGCAATAGCCTAAAGCTCTATCTGATTCTGATTAATTCACTTTTTTTAGCCTAATACTGTAAGTCTAATGGAGATCCATATTATTTTGTGTCATTTAATTGCTTCTATAAATAAAATTATAGCTTTATTTTTGCTGGTTTTGCTTGCTTCTGGGTCTGGCGGTCCCAGAATTTTTTTTTTTTTTTTTTTTTTTTGCTGTGGCATTATGAACATGCTAGATTATGAATATGACTATGATTCTGACTGTGTATCCAAACAGAACATTCATATTCAAATGACAAATTGTAATGGAATTGGAACTAATTGATTAAGGAACTAAGTCTGTGCCTTTTCATCCTCTTCCACTCAATGCCACTGAAGTGAATGAATGCCTGTGTCCACTGCTTCCAGAGAGGAAGTACCCCGTCCAGACACGCTGTCTCTCTGTGTGTTGCTTTGGCTGATGGCAGGCAGAAATGGGATTAACAGTCTTTTCATACAGTGGTGCCTCTCACATGACATCATGCTGACATTTTGGTCTGGGCATACAAAGGCGATCTAAACTGATCAAACAGAAAATGTCCTTTATCTGATTGTCCATTACCTCCATTAACTCCCCATGCCTGAAAAGACAAATCATCATCCAATCATGATTCATGTTATTACAAATATGTTAGTTTACATCTAACAAACATTCTTAAAAGTATCTTAAAAAACAAATGTGTGGACATTAGCTGCACACGGCATGTCCACCAACGGCCCATATTCTCTGAAATGACAGTCTGAAGGATATTGCACACAAAACTGGAAAGCACTTCTCAGACGTCTGGCAAGCTCTAATCTGATTGGCTGACAGCTTTCAGGAATAATGAAACACGATTTTTTTCTCAGTCCGCCTGAAAACCAGGGTATATTTACGTGAAACAATCATCTTTTTTGAAGAAGAACTAATAACTGGATTTGCTAGTTTTCTAGACTCATATAGGGTACTTTTTATGTCTATGAAATAATCAGTAGCCTATTCCTTTTGGTTGGATATTCTTCAGGATTTTTTTCTGTTATCGTATAAGCGTTCAAAGACTTGGATGAATCGTATTAAGAAATCTAGCCGATTATATAAAGCCATATTTGTCAACTTGGAAATTGCACGTAGCCTAAACCCTTTCTGACGCTCTGTTTGGCGTTCAAACGGGAGAATATATGTGCAATTCCACACGTGACCGCGAGATGTCGCTGTGGGACGCGTCGTCATCACTGCAGCAAGGTGCTTGTATGGGGATGGTCCAGCAGGGAAGAGGAGAGAGAGAGAGAGAGAGAGAGAGAGAGAGAGAGAGAGAGAGAGAGAGAGAGAGAGAGAGAGAGAGAGAGAGAGAGAGAGAGAGAGAGAAGGCGCTGCTGCTGCTGTGTCTGTGGCTACCCACCGCAGTTTTCCGGTCTCCTTCTATCCACACGATTTTCCTTGGATACCTAGCGGATGCTATCCTTTCCTCGGCACACCAGCATCTCTTTTGCTTTCAATGCCATTCGTTGGGAATGATTTCCGTGTGTCGCTCGCTGTGAATTGTCGGCATTAATCGGGGAGGGGAAGCTAGAAGAGCGTTGTTCCTCTGGATATTACACGGTAAGCGCAATGTCATTCCAGTTGCATTTCCAGTTGTCACATTCCCCACCTACAACCACGATATCTGCCAAGAAAAAGCTCGAAACAGTTGCGAAACCCTTGGTACGCGTATTAACAGCGCATGTTATGTGAGTATACTTGCTTGTGGATGTCGCCGAGTTTGTGTTTAGCGGTTTTTATCGCATTTAAGGCTCGTATTCACAGCGCGATGAGCGCAGGCTGGGAACTGAAAATGGAATCCATTAGAGCATCATTCTCCATCCAAGACGGGGGGGGGGGGGGGGGGGGGTTACAGAAAACCTATTACTTCCCTATTGACCTAAATTTCAATGATGTATTTATAAGATTACACTAGTCCACGTATATGACCGCTGCTTCTTTGTGTAGTTTTACAGCATGTCTCTCAGGCTCTCAAATCGTTATAAAAACCCAACTGTCAGTGCCTTTTGCTTGTGAAGAACCGTTTTCATTTGTGTCCATTCATTTTGAATATCTTGATTTACTAGCTCGTGTAGCCTCGGTTTTTCTAGCATTACTGCTGAAAATTAGCATTTTTGACCATCTAATATTGACAAATTCTTTATAAAACATTGTTTAAATTGATTTTGAGTATGAAAGATGAATAAAGCCTATTTAGGTGTGCTGATGTGGAAATGGGAGGGCTGTATGTGGCTAGACTGGTCGCCTTTCTCTGCACTTGCTTAGGTGAGGCCGTCTTGGAAGAGAAGAAACAATAATTCAGCTCATAGTAGCTTTTAGGCCCTCATGTGTTTATTTATTGAATTTTGAATAATGTGCTATCTTTTCCCACACATGGCACAGTTATTAGTATGTTGGTGCTCAATATGCAAGCAGTTGTTAATGGATAGAACTGTGACATTGATGGATTTTATTCTTGATTTTTGTTGTGTCAAATTCACTATACAAACCTGGCTGCTGTGGTTGCAAGAACTTTACTGTAAAAATACTGGGATGTTTCACACTGGGAATTCTGCAGAATTCTGGGAATCCCCAGGTTTACTGTAACTTTTTATTTGCAGCTATTTTTTCTTTTTTTGCAGCAACAAGAAGTACTAGTGGCGAAGTGTAGTAGCAAGGGTTTGATTTACTGATGCCATAAAATTATGTGAATTTTCACACAAGTACTTTTCTGCTGAAAAAATCAAGAGAGATATTGCAACAGAGAGAGAGAGAGAGAGAGAGAGAGAGAGAGAGAGAGAGAGAGAGAGAGAGAGAGAGAGAGAGATATTGAAAGAGAGAATATTGATTGTTTAAGGGATCGGACATTCTCAGGTTGATCATAAATTATACATTGCACATGGAATTTTTTTTTTCCTGTGCAGAAAGGTTTCAGCACCCTGGCCCTGGTATTCACCATTTTAATGTACTGATACATAAGAGTGTGCTCTCAGGGAGCAACAGTGCTTGACTGTGAAATATTGTATGCATACTGGTATTAACCTGCTTGCTATATGGCTGCATATGATTTAGAATGTAGGAGCTCGCTGTGTATGCATTTTGTAACAGGTCACGTACACTTGAAGACCTCGCTGAGGTATCTCACAGGAGAAACAGACGAGCAGCTGAAAGCAAGGAAATTAGTGCAATATACATTCAAAACACCCATCATCATTTATAATGTTTGCAGTTGCAGTTATATGTTTCGTTCAAATGTTCGATACAGAAAATGACATGACTTGATTATGACCTGACTTTGCCCATCAATGGCCCTGCAATTTCAGGATAATGAACAGGTAATCTATAGCTTAAACTTGGTGCAAAGACATCAAACTGTGGAAAAGCAAAGTGCTGGTATTAATTATTAAAATGGTGCACTTTCAGCACATTGAGTGCAGTGGTGCTTATAATAGGCAATTTGACAACAATTTGTTATCTTTTGCCATTATCTCAAAACCATCACTTTTAGGTTTTTAGCATTTTTCTGTTCTATTTGATCGTTGTTCACCTATAGAGGTAGTTTCTATATGCCTCATTTCATATTCATTTACTCTAGGATCTAACAGGTTTACTGCAGTTTCTTTAGATTTATTTTGAAGTTGCAGTAACCTTTGCAGTTTTTGTATTCTTGTTTTCTTTGCCACAAATGTTGTTATAAATACTAACATTTTTAAACCTTTTTTGAGGAAACAGTGTTTATTAACCTTATTTTTTAAACCGTTTTGTCATAGGTGAACAGAGGAAGGCTATATCATGCTCATATAGCATTCAGTGTTCTGCTCAGGTGAAAGTAATAGACCTATTGATAAATATCCAACTTGACTCCAGCCACTTGGTATGGACTGAGTCAGTCTCCTCTTCTGATAATGACCCCAGAAATAAAGCTGTTGATGACACAGCTTTGATATGAGCAGATATGAGCATTGCCATGTTGTCATCTGTTGTCTCATCATGACACTCACTGGCTAATATGTAGTTATATAGCTGTCATACTGGAGGATATGAGAGTGCAGAGTCATACATTTCTTTTATATTTTCATTTTTCCCTAAGAAGATCTGCAGAATATAGTGACTTGAAATTTGATGAATCTTTGATGACTCGTTTTGAGGCTTGAGGTGTACACTTAATTTGTAGCTATATGCCAATATTATAGAAGTTAAACTCAAAGGATGTGCAAGAGAACAGATTAGTTAAGAGTTTATGAGTACATGGTGTGTACATGCATATTATTAGCTTATTTGCCTGTCATTTTTGAAGATTAATATCTCACTGTAAAAAAAATAACTTAAAAAAGTAAGTTACCTCGTACCGCCTTAACATTTTGGGCCCTATCTTGCACCCTGGCAAATGAGTTTGTACACTGTATGTATCATTCCTATTTTGCACCCGTGCAAAGCGGGCTTTTCCCTCCACAGACGCACGTCGGTAAACTAGGAAATGAACTTGCGCTCCCTGGGCGGGTCGGCGCTAAAAGGAGGCGTGTTTCGGCGCAAACATTCCCTAGTGCTATTTTGCAGTTCCAGAAAACAATTCCGCCACTGACCAGAAAAAACCTGGTCTAAAGTCAGTGGCGCGTTGCGCATTGTTCATAATGCTAGTTTAAGCGCGCATGCTTGGCCATAATGTAGCGGGTGCACAACGCGCATACACTTTGATTCTCTCATCAACACAGATGCAGCAGTTTTTATTTTTGCAAATCATACATTATAACAAGGAAAAATATTAACACATGAGGGAAATCATTGTGGTGTCCATGAAGATGTAATTTTTTTTGGTTTTTTTCCTCCCACGCCTGTTTAACCGACGCTGATTTGGGTGGGTTTCTCCCATCCCCATACAACGTCACTTCTCTGTCTTTCACGGTCCTGAAAAGAACTTCGGTCTCCTCGGCTATGAACCGCTCCTGGCGCGCGCCTGGTAAATCCGCCATAATAATAGCAATCCGTAATGGAACTTGCGCACCTGCTCTTAAAGGGAATGTGAGATGACGCTCCGATTGGTTTATTTCACGTTACGCCCAAACCACACCTATGAATAATGAAGCTACTTCAGACCAACCCCTTTTAGATTTGCGCCAGGCGCAAGAGGCATTTATCCCGCCGGGAAAATAGCAACAGCGCCGGGATCCGCCCACAAAGTTACTTGCGCTTTGCGCTTTGACACTTGCGTTTCAGATCGTTAAAATAGGGCCCATAGAGTTCATTGAAATTAAAAATTTGAGTTAATACAATGAGGGAAATTAGTTTGATAGAAACTCAAAATATTATGTTATCTGAAACACATTAATTCTCTAAGTTTATTTGACAAAAGATAAAAAGTTTGGATAAAAAAATTTTTTGACAGTGATAAATCCGCTTTAGAGGGCCACTGTAAAATATGGCAGTCAATATTACACTGTATTCAGAATTTTACTGTGAAATCATTGCAGACACATTTTCCTTCATAACACAACAAATGTATTACTCACTGCATGCTGGGAATCACACTGTGATCATTTACAGTAGCTGATTAAAAATATTTATTACACGGCTCTTTGAAATTCTTGATTGTGAAACAAACTCTACTATTTTTACATCTTGTATTACACCACGCCATCTTGCGTCTTGGTTATTTAGTGAAAATGACCTCAGAGGACTTCACTATTCAAATAATATTAATATAGCATTGCCCGTCTTGTGGCTAGGCCTATTGTACATTGTAATAGACTATTTTTTTCTCTAGTGGAAGCTTTAAGATGGAGTTTGGGTCCTGCTATTGTTTAAAGGTAAGATTATAATTTCCACTCAAATCATTATTTAATGCTCAAAAATTTATTTATTCAGTTTGTAGTCGTGTTTTTGTTTATTTTGCAATTATGACCATACAGAATCATTTAGATATGATTTTGAAATCGAATAGCCCCCCCCCTTGTTAAATTCCTGTGTGCATTAAGTAGTCTTATTGTTATTGTGGGGCCTCATTTCCCAGCATTGCCTTCCACACAGATCAAGTGCTTGAGTGAGCGATCTTTACCCAACTTAATTTAGCCAGTGTACCATAGAAACATCTTCTTATATGCACACTACCAATGCACCGGGGAGCTGCCTTGCTTATGTACCCCTGTCAATGCTCCAGAAAAGACTTGATAGTAGGGCAGAAAAACATTATTACCTGACTGCCTGGATTATGCAGACCTGGAGTGAGGAGAGACAAGCTGTGCTCACTGAGCATTTGCATTTATGATTAAGGAATCCACTGACACATGAAATATGAAATATGAGAGACAGCAGGGCCCTGGGTACCTATTTTTAGATTTGCCAACCAAAATAAATTCAAAAGGAAGGTTATAGTGTTGTTTTTTCAGATGTCATTATTGTTTTGTTTAAAGGATGGTTTAAAGTTCCCAACCTAAACCGGAATAGTTTGCTTTTTAACTGGAATCATTTGAGATATCTTGGATTTGCTAAATGAGAATTGTGATATTATTTATGCAATATCAATTCATCTGAATGATTGTTTAGTATATTTTTAGAGGTCAGTGGTATAAGATAACTTGACAGTC